GGACCAGGAATAGGCATAGAATTGCAATGGAGCAGGCAACATTTAAGTCATGTCTCAAGCACTGAATAATGCCCTGCTTACCAACCTATGTTAAGCTGTGGGCCAAGTAGAAAAGTCTGAATGGATGGAGCTGCCTGGCCTGGTGTGATGTCAAGTGAAAATATTTAGCTGTGACTCAAACATGGCATGTCTAGAGGCTATGTATGAGTTTCAAAAGCTGAAAAAGATTGGTTTAGGTTCACTTGTAAATAATCTCTTATCACAATGCCTGTCCCAGGCTATGAGGACATACTATAAATTGTCAATAAGAAATTTGGATTGCACCAAATTCATTTTTAGTAGATCAGTATGTCAATAGATGGTGTGAGGGGCATAAATGAGTTCCAAGAACACTGTATTGCAGGAAGAAACATTATGGGGGACTAGATTTTAAACTAGGAGTAGTAATGAAAATAGACATATTTGAAATGGAATTAAGATATAAAACCAACAGGACTTAGCAATCTAGTAGATTCAGTTATACAAAAGAAATGTTTGAGATTTCTTATACAATATGGCAACTATACTTAATAGCAATGTACTATATATCAGGCTTCATTCCTCCTTACATATTGCTAAGAGTATAGGCATTGAGTACTCTTACTGTAGAAAAAAGCATAGGAGGGAATTTTATGTAAATTAGCTTGGTTTAGCAATTTTGCAATATATATGTATTCCAGTACATTATATTGCACACCATAACATATATAGTTTTTATTTGTCAATCAAAATAAGTGCAAGCAATATATGGGAACAGGCTAATCATGGTAAAGAAGGTGTCATCATGATGTATAGGGTATGAGACTTTTAGTTGGAGTGCCTTAAGTGGAAGATGAGTGGATTAATGGAGATCATGACTTGGAAGAGCCCAAGGTTAAGGGTGGGATGTAGAAATTTCATTTTAGATGTGTAGGCTGTGAAGACTGCCAGTAGGGAGATCTGAGCATGTTGAGATGTTGCTATTTAATAGGAAGATGGATACCTGCATCTGGAGTTCAGAAGATAGATAAATATTTAGGGTTACTTTGAGTCCTACATGATAATAAAGCTTTAGTAAGAATGAAGAATGAAATGAAGTCCACCAGAAAGGACTTCTGAAAGGAGAAGAAAGATCCAAAGTAAAATAGTGAGGAATGTAAAATTTGATTTTACCATTCACTGAAAAGCACCTTTACTCCAAATGCAAGAGAAAATGATAAATGTATACATTGGAATCAGTATGACCTGATATTAAATTAGTCCTAAGGAGTGAGAGATAGGGAGAAAATAGAGACTAAAAGTTCTTAATTTGTGCCTAGTGCAATTGTAAGCTTAGGAAGAAAGAGTAGGTAATAACTGCAATTATTGTCAGTATCATCAATTGTGTATGATTGCATATTATGCTACACTGACTCCTAATGCTATTGATATTCATGACAATATTATAGTTATTGTTAATGATCCTTTTGTTACCAGTAACTTTTATCAATGACTATGATAATTTGCAGTTACCGAGTCTTACCTGCGTGCTATGCCTACAAGGCAAAGTCAATCTGTTGAAGTCAAACTAGGAACTATCAGAAGAAAGGCTAGCTCCTCCTCTCTCCTATTGCTTTGTTCCTGATTGAAATAGTTCCTGAGTCTTACAGGCTTGTCTAATAACAATCCTTCCTTTAAGTGTAGTCAAGATCATACTTTATCTTTATTCGATGCTGTGTTAGTTTTTGTTCTCCCAGAAGAAAGTAGAAAATGGGATTAGACGCATGAGAGAGTTTTTAGGGGGAATAGCCTATATAATGTTCAGGTTGTAGGGTAAGCTGGAGAAAGCAGGCAGAGCTCTCAGATTGATGGAGGTCTGAACTCAGCGCAGAAGGGGAAGAAAGGCAGATTGGATGGGAAGCTCTTCAGACTGCAGCACAGTTCCAAGAAAGAATTAGTTAGGCTCATGAAGAGTCTTATGTCTCTAAGGAGAGGGTCCACCTTAGAACCTCTACCATGCTTGGTCCACAGAGACAAGGAGCCTATCAGAAGTGTGGCCTCAGTGTAGACAGAGCATTGTATCCAGAGGAGCAACAGTTAGGGCCCTAACTCTGCAAGTTTCTCTGCAGCAGGACATCTAAGTGGCCCCTTTTGTAGCCACTGTGATTGTCTTCAGCAGCTTAGTGAACTTTTTCCCTAGTGTTCCATTGGCATATATTGTTCAAATCAATAAAATAAAACTCAGCATTATATCATCATTATTTATTTCCATGCAATTATAAACCCATTGAATGCCAGTGCTTACCACTGCACTCTTAACTCAAGGCATTCACTTGAATACATTCATCACAATCAGAAGTATTTTAATTTCGTTATTTGAATGTGTCTGAGGTTAATAAACAATGGTGCTTTTCACTCATGGTTTGAGTATTTAAGTGTTAAGGGAGAATATGGTTTGGATGAGATTGTTTGTAGATATACTCAAGAGGGAAGAATTAGAGCCTCCTAGTTAGAGATACCCACTGGAAACATACAGATATCAGGGCTCAAGCTTACACGTTTGATGAGATAAGGACCAAGTAGATGGACAGAACACAGAATCCAGAGAACATGTAGAAAAGGCTACACCAGCTCAAGTTGGGTTACAGAATGCAGACAAAAGATCAAAAACAGATGTGGATACTCTGTTATAGACTAGATCTATTGAAGATGAGATCTTTTGAGGATGGGATTTTTCCATTCATTCAATAAAAAATATTGGGCATCTACTACATTCTAGAGAGATCAGTGAGTGAACAGCCTGGGTTGGGATTCAGTATACCATGCAGTAGGGCTTCCTGGAAGTGGAGACCTAGTGACAGGCTACTGTGGATAAGAGAAGGCTGAAAGGATAGCAGTTGTGTAGGGATCCAGTTAGGCCCTTTGCTGAAGTCAAATGGATGACAGGTGTTAGAATTTGGAACATTCTGTGGTAAAACAGACCTGGAAGAAGTTGACACTAAAAACACGGAAAGCGTCATGGTGTAAATTTCTTTCATGGGGCACTGGAGCTCCTGCAGGATATGAAAGAGTTATTCAGAAAGGGGGATTAGTAGGTTTCAAACACACAGCTTGTCTGTGAATTTTGTGACAGATGATGTACCCATGGAAAGTAGTTCTTGTGCCCACTTTCGCTGGATGAAGTGTTTTATCACTTACCTGCTCTACTTCTCTAAAACCAATGTTAAAATTTAGGAAGAATTTCTATGTTCCAGTCTTTCCTAATTGAATCCAGTCTCAGCACGTATTAGGCAGACTTTTGTTACTTTAATTATAATATCCAAGAGCAGCTTTTTAGGAAGGAAAATGCTTATTTTGGCTTATAGTTTGGAAGTTTGCACCTAAAAATCAGGCAGCCTCGCTAGTCTGGTGCTGATGGAGCTGGCAATGGTGGGGCCGGTACAGAGGAGTCCTCACGTGGCAATCCAAGAAGCAGAATGAGAAGCTAGGCCAAACCTGACTTAAATAACCAAGCTTCTCTCAAGAACCGCCATTGGAGGTCAAACCCCAGTGACCTCTTACCAGACTTGCATGTCAGACACCATAATTAGATCAAGCCTTCATCCTTAACTCATCAAACCTTAACATATGATTTCAGACTTGAAACAGCTGCATGACTTTGGGGAGCCAAGTGCTGCTCAATTCATTACATAGTAGATCGCTGACTCCAAACTTTTAAGATACAGTTCAGTTCAGTATCTTCTGGTTTAACCTTGAACTCTGGCCTGCTTGGGAAAAGAAGTATAGCAAGAAAAAGAAGAAAAGTATATAGAAAAAAAGGAAGAAAATTAAGAGATGCCCCATAATCTCATTCACATTGGGGTAAAAGTGGGCTGAACATCTAATCTCCTGTGACCCCCTTCTCTACCTCCCATTTACTATTTTCAATATCTTGTAACTTTTAAAATCTTATAGTCATAGATACTATTTTTCATTAACATATTAATTAACCTTGACAAAAACATACTAGACACAAACCTAACGATGACTGATTAGCAGATACACAATTGGTTCCAGTTTTTTGTTCTCTTAATCATACTCTTTGTGAAGTTGTTCATGGTATTAAATAGAGTCAAAAGACCTAAGAATGAATTGGAAATTTCCACCCGACTTCTAACTGGGCAGAAGGGGAGCCAATTATTTAACTTTCCCAAAGCTCCATTTCCTCCTCTGTAAAACAGAATAACACTTCTCGCTCTGATACCTTTCTGGGTGCTCTGAGGACCATGTATGAAAACCACTGAACTCGGAACAAATACCATTAAAAGATAGCCAGGTCCTTTATTAAATGAGCAGTACAGAGGAAAGAATCTGTACCAGAACCTGCTTCTCCTTACTCCCTCTTGGACCATTCACTGGAGTCCCAAACCTTGTTTTTTTTCACTTGCACATTTTTTAAGATCAAAACAACATATTTCAATTGAAGTATAAAGAATATGCTAATGATTACATTTCTTAATAATATGTCTGCATAGGGTAATCTCAAGGTCAAATATGTGTGAATTGATTTTTTCTCGTAAAATATTAACATGATTTTAAATTAATGTATCTATGCCAGATCCTTTGAAAAATATTTGCGAGAGAACCTGTTCTGAATTCTATAGAAGAGTCGAATTTAAGCAACAGTTTCTTAAAAAATGAAACCCAGAATTCAATCACACACCAACAATAACTGAGTATTTCCTTAAAGGTTCTTTGTATATTTCATTTAATGAAACTTTAGAAAAGAAAAATGTTGCCGTATATTTTTATTCATAATTTGTCATTTTAATATTCCCTTGGCTTCAGGGAAATATGGTTTATATATACAGGGATAAGATTATAATGATAAGGCCTGGTTAGGAAAATATGGTTCAGTTTTACATTGAGATTATTATTATTCAAAAGCTCTTTTTATATCTTTTTAAAAATAAAAACATACTGTTTACGTTCTAATATTGTTTAATCTCTTATTTCTTTGCAAGATAATCGTTGGAGAAACTGCTGTGTTTTGCCTACAGTTAGCCACAAGGGATTTTGAAAACCAAGAAAAAACTATTTTAACTGGAGATTGTTGCTATATAAATCCACTGGTACGCCGAACTGTCCGATTTCTTGGTAGGTATTCGTTGATAGTCTTTATTGTTGCTGGAATAATGTTTATGTATAAGTTAACCTTTAAAAAGATCTGCATTTTAGTTGTATGCAAATATTAGGTTATCTATTCTGTGAAATGTTTCAGTGTGGTTTGAAAAATGAACATTACATACAAACTTCTAATACTGCAAGACCCTACATCAGAATGTCATTTACATGTTAAGGAAAAAAGAACATCACACATATATATTTAATATTCTTGAAGAAACTAAAAAATATATATAATTTAAAAAATGATTGTGTTTATGAAGTTTCAGAAACTGCTTAAGGGGAAATGATAAGCCAGATAGGTTGTTAGGGATCATGAGAGACAAGAGAAACAGCTTGGAAAATAGAAGAAATGTGCAATATTTGAAGTAATACTCCATGTAATACTTCTGAGCTATTCTTTGTGTAAGACAAGATATGTTTGGAATTTTATTACATGACAAGATTCACTGATACTTTAACTTTCAATCTTAAATAATAGCACTAATAAATATGAACACTGAGAAATCATTGAAAATCAATTCAATGGAAACTCAGCCAAAATGATATTTTTAACTGAACAAATACAATTTGATATAAATTATTCATTTCTGAATTTGTGAGACAAAAAGAACTATATCTGAATATACTAAATGACATTTACGATAAATCCTGATCAGTATTAAGAGATATACTAAGGACACTGAAGCCCCTCAGTATACTTTTCATCCTGAAGAGGACTATGGAGATAACACGTATGGATGATCTAACCTGTATGTAAACCCATCCAAGGCTAAGCAAATATCACCAGGCCTATGGATTTCTCTGAAGACATAAAGGTCTATACATTCAACACTTATTTATATCACTAACAAGTTATATATCACCAAATCTTCATTTATCCTGTTGAAGGGATAATTTTTGTGTGAAACTTTTTTGCTTTTTAAAATTTTTATTAATATAAAAATATTTCATGTATTTCATAGGTACACTTCTAAGATTATCATATTTCCCTTCCCCACTTCTCGCTTCCTTAAGCCCCACTTTCCTTCCTTTTTTCCATTAATTTTATCAAAAAATAATTATTTTACATGCATTAATACTGTGCTCTTGAGTCATTTCTCTTTGTATGAGTATCATTTAATAACCAAATAAGAACACACTGAAGACTAAAAGCATCTGATGTAATTATTGTGCCTCTTTAAGTAAAATATTTTCTGCATTTGTGCACGGTTTTTAAAGATTTGTGGCACAAAGTAGGCTTTTATGTCTTTGCATACTTCTTGCCTATTACATGATTTTATGAAATGTTAAGGAGAGCTTGATTTGTTTCTTATTTCCTCACCATGATTGGGATGTTCCTAGTTTGTTATCATAAAATGAAAGTCGTAACCAAAGCATTAACTCATAATTATCACTCTTTTCAGTGACTCTGTCCTTGACGTCAGAGAGTAGCTAATGCTCATGGGATCTCTCTTTAATAATTACCTTTGTAGTAAACTATGATATTGGCCTGGGGCTTTGATGCACTGACACTTTACTTCTAAAGCATACTTGGGAACTTTACAAGTATCAAGAGACATTTCCATTTTCTTGTCAAGTATTTCCCTGTTTTTTAAACAGGAAAACCTGTTGCACCAGATAAAAAGAATGGTTTAGTTAAATGAAATGGGTACATCTTAGTCCAGATTTCAAAGGATTAAAAATAAAGACTTATAATTTAGGTTCCCATGATTGGTCATCAGGTTTGGAAGAGTGATTGCGTATGTCTTTACTGAATTCAGTTCTTTTTCATTGCTCTGCCTCTCTCATATTTTTGCTTTTGACAAACTTTACTTTGATGACTCATAGAATGCTGGTGAGATGAGAAAGAAGACCTTATTGTTTCTTTTTAGAAATTTGAGATAAAGGGAGAACTAATGTATTTGTCTCATTGACATTTGGATACACATAGTTGCTATGTGCAGATCCTTGTACGTAAACATTTTGTGTACACATCTTGCATATTTTGAAAAGTAAAAGTGTAAGTATGCATCAAATACTGTAAAATTATTTGATCTTCCTTAGCTTTCACGTTGATTTTCTATGCAACAGCCAATGATGTGAAAGGCTTAGAAAAAAAAGTCTAGAAATACATGACAAAGAAAAACATCTAATTATTACAGAAAAGTAATATGAGCTTTTTAACAAGCCAATTGTTCTGTAAAGTATTCTTTTGGCATAGTTTTAAAAGGTTCTGATGAATTTTATTTACCCAAATTATTAAAAGAATGTGTTTCCTTACATGTTTAAAGATTGTGTGTGTTAATTTAATTGGAATTGATACTAGTGGGTTCCTAGCTCTGGTTCTGATTCCAGCTTCCTGCTGATGCAGACTCAGGGAGGCAGCAGGTGATGGCTGAGGTGCTTGGTTCCTGCCACCCGGGTGGGAGATCTAGATTGAGTTCTGGTCTCCTGGCTTCTGTCCGGCTCAGCCCTGGCTGTTCTGAGCATTTGTGCAGTCAACCAGAGGACAGATCTCTGTCTCTGTCTGTCTCCCCTCCATTCGGTGTGTGTGTTTGTGTGTGTTTGTGTGTGTGTGTATGTCTCATCTGTGTCTGTCTTTCAAAAAATGAGTTAAATTTTTTTCAATTTCAAATGAATTGGCAAGTTTTATACAAAAACAGAAAAATTTATCTATGTGCTTAATTTTATGTCTTCAGATAACCAAAGCAAGAAGTTTTAATTCTTTAATAATTAAAAAATTATATAATTTTGATTTCCTTTTGCTTACTGCGTTTCTCCATAATTGATAAATAAGGTGGGACTAAACTATTAGCTGTTCTGTGACTATAAGAACTGTATTTCTGAAGCAATGTAGAGATTAATGTGAAAACATTTTGCTTTGCTTAAGACTTTCCACGATATTTAAATGAAAACTGTTGGCGCTGGATTTTACTGCTAATTGGCACCTCCAGCAGAGTTAATATCAGCCTGAATGGGTTTAGGAGGCATCATCAAAAGCAGACAACTGCTTTGCTTTATGTTTGTAAAATAAAAAAATTCAAAAATAGGGAAAAATGAAGATTGCTAACATTAGTAAAATGTGATAGACTATACCCTCTTAAGGGACATATGTCTCCATTTAAAAAATCACATTACCCAAATACAATCTTAGAATATGTCTTCTTCTTTTATCTTATGCTTTATAAACCTGCCAAGCACAAAAATGTAGCCAGTGGTAGACAGCTCAATATGTTAAATAATTTAGCACTCCTACCACTCCAGAAAGCCAAGGGAAGAACTAAGGAGGAGTGAAACGAAAGGCACCGAGTGTATGCGTGTGTGATAGATTTTGTAGTTGCTAAAATGTTTCCATTTTGGTTTATTGTCAACTGAATTGCAAAAACAAAAAAGCAAGGAGTTAAAACTGTCTGTTTTCTTCCTCAGGAATTTATACGTTTGGATTGTTTGCCACAGATATATTTGTAAATGCTGGACAAGTTGTTACAGGAAATCTGGCTCCACATTTTCTTGCCCTGTGTAAGCCCAACTATACAGCTCTTGGATGTCAACAGTATACACAATTCATCAGCGGGGAAGAGGCCTGCACGGGCAACCCAGATCTCATCATGAGAGCAAGGAAAACATTTCCATCCAAAGAAGCAGCTCTCAGTGTCTATGCAGCCATGTATCTGACAGTAAGTCGGGCTTGTCAACTCATCTTATTTTTGTGTTTCTGCCCATTCTTCCAATGCAGAGATCCTGGTTTTATTCTGCCACAGTGAAATTCACTTGTAACCCATTAACAGCTTTCTATAGGCTGCTTAATTCATTTTTAATAATAGCTATTTGTACTGTGACTAATATTAAGTCAGTTGACTCTCATGAGATTGTGTGTGGGTTGTTGGTTATATTAAAAAATATAGCCATTAGCATTTTTTTGACAGGAAGAGTTAGACAGTGAGAGAGAGAGAGAAAGGTCTTCCTTCTGTTGGTTCACCCCCCAAATGGACGTTACAGCTGGCGCACCGCGCTGATCCGATGGCAGGAGCCAGGTGCTTCCTCCTGGTCTCCCATGCGGATGCAGGGCCCAGGCACTTGGGCCATCCTCCACTGCACTCCCGGGCCACAGCAGAGAGCTGGCCTGGAAGAGGAGCAACCGGGACTAGAACCCAGTGCCCATATGGGATGCCAGCGCCACAGGCGGAGGATTAACCAAGTGAGCCACGGTACCGGTCCCCGCCATTAGCATTTTTATCTGGGAATATGTCTGCTTTTATATTAAAAGGACTTAATAGAAACAAGTATGGGTCGGCGCCGCGGCTCACTAGGCTAATCCTCCGCCTAGCGGCGCCGGCACACCGGGTTCTAGTCCCGGTTGGGGCGCCGGATTCTGTCCCGGTTGCCCCTCTTCCAGGCCAGCCCTCTGCTGTGGCCAGGGAGTGCAGTGGAGGATGGCCCAGGTGCTTGGGCCCTGCACCCCATGGGAGACCAGGAAAAGCACCTGGCTCCTGGCTCCTGCCATCGGATCAGCGCGGTGCGCCGGCCGCAGCGCGCCGGCCGCGGCGGCCATTGGAGGGTGAACCAATGGCAAAGGAAGACCTTTCTCTCTGTCTCTCTCTCTCACTGTCCACTCTGCCTGTCAAAATAAATAAATAAATAAATAAATAAATAAATAAATAAATAAAATAAAAGAAACAAGTGTGATCTGGTGATTCCCTGTGGACTTTAACAGTGGGATTAGGAGGAATACACGGGCCTCTTAGCTCTCCACTCAAGCTCTCATTCCCCATTGGGAAGGGAGAGCAGAGCAGTCTTTCTAGAAATTCTTTTGTCATTATTAACTCTATTATCATAATATAAAGTGCTTTAATATTTTCCTATAGAGCTCACATACTGTCCTTAGACAGTATGTTTTTCCTTTATTCTTCAGTGGTTGCCATCATTTTCATGGTTAGAACAAGGCTGCAAGGACAGCTCTTTTGGGAGCTCGAGGTGAAAGTCAGCAGTCACAGCTGTGTGACTGATATGCAGTAGATGGCAGCAGCCTTGGCAGGCATCTGCTGCCTCCAGCAGTCCTGCCCGCGGCCTCCCTCTCCATCTCCAAGATGCCCTTTGAGGCTGTGACTTGGCCTCCAGACACGCTCTTGGTGGGCTCTTCCATAAGCTCTCGTAAGTTCAGTCGTTCCAGTAGTGCCCACATCTATCTCCTTCCTATTTCAGCTCATTGACAAGACTTGTAAAGACTCAAAACCAATCTGAAACCCAACTTGATCATTTCTAATGATTTGGACAAACTCAGGATTATTTTTGCATTCAAAGACTTGTCTAATAATGGAAATATTTCTAACACAATTATGTGATGCTATTGCTAAAATTTGGGAAGACCTATAGCCGTATCCTGAGACATCTGTATTTGGGATTACAAGCAAAGATTATCAAACAGAGTGGAGTAGGAAACCTTTTTAAAACCAAGGGCCATTTGGATATTTATAACATCATTTACAATCCATACCAAAATTATCTACTTAGAAATTGGCCTGCTGCTATAGATTTTTTGAATTTTGAATCCTGCCTGCAGTTACCTTGACAGAGCCAGGCCAAATGATTTTGCGGGCCTTCTAATGTCTGTGGGCCAGATGTTCCCCAACCTGAAAAGGACAATGTAAGTGGGGAAATACTCTACTATACATGAAAATGTATTTTTAACATTTTAAAAATTTTAAAGCCACACTAATCCTATTCATCACTGCCTGGACTTGTAAAAAAAAATCCCATCAAGAAAAACTTTGTGGAATTAGGATTCAATCCTATCCTACCAAGTTTCTCTGTATTCTGACTTTTGTAAAAGCTGTCTGTTTCTACTCCCTCCCTTCCCTTTCATTATGCTCCTCAATTTTGTCCCTGTAATTTTCCTTGATTTCTTTAGCCCATCAGCTTTGTTTTCTCCTTCACATTCAAAGGTACCTGTGGGCCTAGTATGAAATGTGCTAACCCATGCATATTCTTTCCTGTTCATTGCTTGACTACATATCCCACTTCTGCTAGAATGTGAAGCACTCAGCCATAAAATGAAGATTTAAAACTTGAGTGAATCAGAAGTCACAAAATGCTCTTTATTCATTGCCATGACATCTAAATCTGATGTTTACAATTATGTCTGGATATGAATTGCAAATATATAGTCAGATACATGTGCAAACAAACCAGGGATGGGAGACAAACTCCAAAATACTCTCTCACCCCAGATACTGTTACGTGAAGATGGGTCTTAGACTTTGCTCTGCAGCCAATATTTGCCAATAAAATACTTGGCATTTTTATTCTGCCAAAACAGTGTTGCAAAGACCTGGCTAGGGGAGAAGGCGTTATCTTTTTATGTATCAGAAGAATCTTAACATCCTCTCTGCTGGCCACCTGTATGCATTTGTTTTAGCAATTTTTGAATTATAAAATTTACTATTGTGTCTGTGATAAAGAATTAGAGATATTAATTAATAATAACAATTATAACCAATATTTACTGAGCATTTGCTGTGTCTGGTGATAATTGCCTCACTTTTGTTAACATTTAATATTTTACCAATGCTTACATTACAAAAAATTATTTATTATTACTTGTTTAATAAATGATTATGCTAATTTATTAAATCTTCATAAGATTTCCTTAAAGTATGTGCTGTCATTATACCCATTGCCCAGATGAGTACACTCAGAAAGTGAAGTAACTTGCTCACATCCATGGAACTACAAATTGTCATGTAAAAATGTTCTAGAGGAAAACATTAAATGTTAGCCCAACTGTGCATATGTTCAACTGAATTCCCTCATCTACCACATAATCTCATCACCTAATGAAGTTTAAGGCCAAGGTTACAAATGGTAGGTCTTTTAGAGAACACTTACTTAATAAACACTCCAACATCCGGAAGTCTTCTATCATTAAACAGGGATTCTGACTAAAATTTAGGATTCCTGCTTGTAGTTACATTGATAGAGGCCTCTGTCTGTTTAACAATAGATCCTTTTCTCTGCTAACAGCTTTCCTGTCTTTCCCACCACCTCTTTGTGTGTGAGTGTGCGTGTGGGTGGCTGCTATGGCAACTCTGAATATAACTTCTGCTGCAAGTGTAGGCTTTACAGTCAAATTCTGCCATTAGATTTGAACTTATACACACATACATTTATCACCAGCTTCACTAGTGACACCTGGGAAAACTTTATAATAGAAATTTTGGGGTGTTTCAAACTAATGCAGGCTTATGAATTGCTTGCCAGAATTTTGATGGATAGGTAAATAAAAGAAAGCCATATATTCAGTATTCTATGTGGAAGTGGCCTGATAGCTGTTGTACTTAGGTATATTTATTTCATATGATGTTGGTGTTACAGACATATGTAGACTCAAAATAAAAATAAATGAATCCCATTATGAGCTATGTGAATTAGAACTGAGGAATATTTGTAATATATGGATTAGTAAATAAAATGAAGAAATCTGAATTCTCCCATAGCATCTTACTTTAATTAAAGCTTTGGGGGATAATTTGGTAACAGAGCTTTTTTTTTTTTTTTTTGCTTTACTGAAAACTTTCAGTGGGGGAAAAAATCCCTCTTCCTATTTTTGCAAATGTTATCCATTTCCCAGGAAACACTTCTGAAGGTTATTTAACCCTCAACCATCAAATTTATAATTCAGTGTTAAATTAACATTAGGATAATATTTAAATTTAGCCTTGTGGTATTTCTTTTCATATGACATATATAATTTTTCCCAGTTAAAACCAAATGAAACTTGAGAATGAAAGATCATGTTTGGTGACTTTCCAGTTAAATTCATAAATCATTGAAACAGAAACCATAAAATAATCTCCTTGAGACACTTCCAAATCTGACCTTAGAGATGTTTTCATTAAAAAAAAAAAAAGCTACATTTTTGGGCCTATGTTGCCATTATCCATTCCTATCATACAAAACACCTTAGAGCTCAGACGTCAGACTGTCATGCTCAGGGAACAATGGGTTGGCTGGCAGTTTTCCAGCCAATCAATCTTTGCTTCTCTTGTGGGTCACGTTTGGTTGAGCATTTAGTTGGGGTTTGGCCTCACAGGTCTGATCCTTGACAGTGCCTGAGAGTAGCCTCCCAGGTGGGCAAAGGCTGAGCTGGAAGGTGTCTTGAGACCTCACCATCATTATATTCTGTTTGAACAAATCACAAGTCCAATCCAGATTGTTGAGGAGGATCAATAGACTCCACTTACAGAGGAGAAGGGCAGCAAAGTCAGATTGAGAAGCAGCACATTCCCTGGGATAGGAGGAATTTGTGCACGTTAAACAATTTACTGCAGTCTCTTCTCATCATATCAGTGGCAAGTTCTAACATAGCCTTTCCCCTGTTCTCCTCCACCTCCTCCTCCTTGGTGGCCAGACATCGGCCTCATCTCACTGTCACTTCCCGCACAGCCGTCTTTAAAACATGCCTGCAAGGCCCAGGTGCAAGAACCACCTCCCACTGGTGTCCGTGTGCCCTCTTCCCCTTAAGGACGTTTTGCCAGTTGTATGTAGGGGAGTTACCCTGCCCTTGTTCTAGGGTGCAGGAATTTGGAGAGTTCATGCCAACTTACAGAAGTTGATTTCCTGAGACTGGTCAGGGGTTGCTTTGGGGGGAGAAGAGCTGGGGTGAGTGGAGAGAACCTGT